TTTGGAGTTGTTGCACGATCTTGGTAGCTCACAGCCTTCCTTCTCATGGCCCCAAACATGAAATCGCGAAAGCTGAAGCTGCAAATCTGGTGACAGTGCCTCCCCAATATTCTGCGCGTTGATCCTGGCTGCAGAGCATCCCGCGGGACTCAGGGTCCCGCTCTTTCCCCCGGTTCAACGGCCAAGCTGCGCTAAGGCAAGCGATTATCGTTGTAGTGCACTCTGTAGGTTGAAGCTACAGATCCGGATTGGGGCTGAAGGTTTGAACAGCCTTTGGTTGACACTTACGGGCAGGATAGGTTCCAACCCAAGCCCTAGAATCGCGCCGACTGCCCTTCCTTTGCGATAGGGAGGGCGACTACGTGCGCTTCGTACACTCAGATGCTGTTGCAGACTCGACTATAGGTTAAACATATCCGGCCCCGATTCTCTGCGGGCCACAAGACTTACACCTTGTTCTTGGGATTTTGAAGCACCTGACCAAGATGAAAGGTCTTGTGAGAGGAATAAGAACCTGTACAACTGGCGAAGCCTAGCTATTTGCAGCTCCTGCTGTGTTGCCTGGGCTTGAGGGATCATCTCCTAGATTCCTGACACAACATGAAATCGATTTATGTCCAAGAAGTGAGTCCAAACTCATGGGGCGATGAAATTCTGCTTCGGAGTTTGGAAAAAGAAGTCAAGCAAGCCCCACTCTACAAGTCAAGCCCCATTCTCCAACTCGAGTTAGAATATTCTTCTACTGTTACTGCCTTTTGCATCCAACCTGTGCATTGCCATCCGTGCCCCCAAGGCCTGTTGAAACATTGTATCCGGAGTGACCGGTTCTTGAGCTTCTCGAGGTAAGGTCTCGGAGGCATGGTTGAAGGTGGTTCAGTCGAAGCATGTGCGATGGGTTGAAGATTTCATTGGCGCAAGCCCCTCCCCTACCTGCAGGTAGGTTCCTAGGTGTAAGAAGACGGAAACAAATCAAGTTGACATTGCAATGACGGTATGGCCAAGCCTTCCAACCCTAAACCCTAAACCTGGCGCGTTCTTACAGCTGGCTATTATAATATACTATAGTATACTTTATTTACTATAATATACTATAATATACTTTATTTACTATAATATACTATAGTATACTATACTACCATACAGCCTCGTGGTACATCTGCTTGAGGCTTCTGAGATGCCCTTGGCCTTCAGAGCCGTAGAATGGTACCCTCAGGACCCACGCCGTGGAGCTGGGACCTACTGAGGGTTAGTAGGGAAAAGGGGAATATGGTCACTAAAATCATCCCTATTTGATCTATTCCCGACTGACAACAAGTAAGTAGAGCCAGCTACTTCTGGTTGACCATCCTTTTGACCAGTCCGTCTTGGCAGTTCCCCGCACCAGGTTGCAAAAGAGAAGAGCAGGAATTAAGCTGAATTCGATACTCCCAGCGGTATGAAAACTGCAATTTTCGGCTCCCAGCATCTCGTACATGAAGCCTGCTTTGAAGCTCCACTCCGGATTCCTGGCGGACTCTGCCAGGACCTTACAAGCTAAAGCGGCGACTGCTTCTTGCGAGCGATGCTTGTCAGCAACAAAACTATTTTGCAAGGACTATAGTACTGGCATTCATGTTGGCAGTGTCGTTATGATCTTAGCCAGGATACTCGTATCATGGCTCCTCATCCATACGAGACCCTGCAACAACAACTGCTCGCGTCCTGGTGTTCTGTTCCACATTCGACTTGAACAACTTGTAGTTGTCAAAGTCAATCCTGAGTAGCAAGCTGCAAGTGGGCTTGTCCACCTACCCAGAGCCCTAGGTGGATAAAAAGGTACATGCCCGGCCCCTTATACACCCAGATTTTCCTGTCGAGTCAAACTGCTAGCTGAATGCGGGCTTCTCAGAAGGGGGGCGCTGGGGCAAACTTACATATAGTGACTCTGGAGTTCCCCGGAAGGGTTCTCTAGGGAATGATGTGAGAAACCCCAAAATGGTTTCGCGGGGCAACGGGCATTTTTTTGAAACCTTCGTCATCACGGCCAGTCTCTTGCAGTCGCCCTGTGGTGATCATTCAAGATGCCCCCCCTTTAAAGACAAACCGAATAGTCAACTGGGAGTTTTTCCAAATCATTTTACCGAACCCATAAAGGCCACCCTTACACTGATCTCAGAATCAGACTGCCTGTCAAATCCCTGGATAACCTCCGGGCCTACATGAGCTATAGTCTCAACTTCTAGCATCCCCTGAACTAGCCCCTATAATACTCCTCTGTATGATCCCCTTGATAAGCCCCACTTTAAGGAGCTTGGGCTATAGCTCACATGAGGGGATGTCCTCAAAGCAGCCTCTTTTATGCAATCTGCAGCACAAGGATCCTACAGGCTCAAAAGGTACAGCCTGCTGGGCAATGCCCAGGGACACCATCTTGCTTACTGGGGGTTAGTAGGGAATAAGGGAATAAATATAATCCCTGTATAATTCCTATATAGTATGTTCCCTTATTCCATACTAACCCCCAGCAAGTTTGAGAGTGGATTGCTAGAGCTTTACTGAGCGGAACACTGAATCTACCGTGCCTGCTGGTCTAGGTATGATGCACGTGGTAGGTTGCAGCATGTCTCCAAACGAGCCATAACGCATATCTCGCTTTTGGGTATGATGCCCTGCTGAGGTACAATATCCCATACAGGCATTAATTACTCCATACCCAAACTGTTAGGCTGCTCTTTGTAGGGACTCCCGGAAACTGAGACCAGCAGCTTTGGAAACACCGGAAACTCAAGTTCATAATGTATGTGTGTATATATAAATACATATGTATACATCTATCTGTCACTATGCATCCCGGAACGCCCATGTATACCTACGCACGAAATTGTAGCTGAGCTGCTTCAGAAAAGGATCACAGGCCTGGCAGCTTGGGTGCAGACTATCCGGTCGAATTGGGGCTTCCGAAGATCGGGGTGGGTGGGTCTTTTTGGGGGCGGGTGTTCAAAGCTCAGGGTGTAAGGGCTACGGTTTCAGAATTTGAGGCCTAATGCGAAGGATTCAAGCTGTATACCTCACTTGCAGGGCTGTGAGGAGTGCTCCGTGCTTGGAGATGCCCAATGAGCATCTCAATACTGAGTTGGCTTTGAAGGGTCCTGCTTTCATTCAACCACCTGGGTTGACTGGAAAAAGATGACCTACAAAATCTCTACTCCACCAGGGGATCTACTACTATTACCCGTGTTGGGACACTGAGCAGATCCTATGTCAAGCTGGTGGCGTCGATCAGGAGCAGGGATGAAGGGAGGCAGATGCTGTAATCTTACATCACCCGTTTGAAGCCAAAGCGTCAAGTTCCACGTAGTGCTGAACCCATCCATGCAGCAAATACTGATTGCTAGAGGATCTTGCCTGTGAGCTTTCATACACCCGCCGTGCCTCGGGTGCATTAAGGCCTTCGCAGGCAAACTCATAGAGCTGCACCTTGCCCGGATGCTTGCAGGATTCACGGAATGAATTCTTCACCGCTGGGGCCTGCGTAGCGGGGTATGTGCTCCGACTGGGAGGCTTTGCCAGCTTAAATCTTGTGGAAGTTGGGGATTGCATGTCACACTGGCAGCGAAATCCTTGACCGGCGGCTGTGCATGACAAAAAAGTCCTGTCTCGCGCGAGGTTGCCTGAAGTATGGGTGTCTTTCAGGAGTCGCGGTCCGCTTCTGAGAGTTCTTGTTCATGCGGTGTTTCAGCATCGTTTTGTCTGTATAGAAGTGGGACCCCTTTTCTCTCGAAATATCGTTGCGGGGGTCTGACCTTCAACTTCTAACATCACTCCGCGCGTCCGATTCGCACTTGTATGCGATTCCTGTCCTGAAGGTCAGGTCAGGTCTCTCAACACGCGTACGAGTACGACTTATTAAATCTTCACGAAAGCAATACAGCGGAAGTGATGTAGACCCTCTGCACCCGAGGCCATGTAAAGAAACTACGACGGTGCCAGCAGAGCGCACACGCGACCAGAGGCCCAAACACCTTTTCCCATAACGTTAAACTTCTGATCATCCAGTATTTCTTTCGTTCTGGCGCTGAGACGAACCATAGAACCATCTTGGATCATCCCTTGGATCATCCCCCCCTCCCTCTCTCTCTCTCCTCTCTCTCTCTGTGACTAAAGCGCAATTCAGTATCCTGTTGCAGAGTGCTCAAGCAGCCACCTCCGCAGAACGCGCACTGCAGCCACTTTTTTTCGGCAGTCTGCAGCCAAAAGCACGCAGTGCCAGCAGCACCTTTTCTAACGCCAGTCTGCGTGTGTCAAGCAGGTCCGGCTAACGGCTAAAGACCGCTGGTGGGCGGGGAATGCGGGAATGGAAGCGAAGATGGAGACTACCGCTTTGCTGAGAATTACATAGGGGCTGCTATGAGGCTCCATTCCTCCAGCCCCTACCAACAACCAGCAAGGAAAGGTAGGATCAGGAACAAGAGCTGCTCCAAAAGCCTACTGGACTGGGATCCTGGCAAAGGTCCTGCAAAAGCTCACCAACAACGCCATATCCATCCATTTGGGGCTTAGATCATGCGCACTACTAAGCCCAAATGACACTTTGCATGTTCTTGTCTTACTTGGAACCACATTACACATGTTCACATTAATAATAGCTTCAATCTGCTGAAAGGGTCTCCACCTGTTGCAGCTTCTCAAAATGATCCCTGCGTTTTCTGTTCTGGAAGCCCCGCGTATAAGACCGCAGCAATCCCTCTACATCCCCCAAATTTCTCAAGGAAACCCCATTTTATGAAACCTTTGTGCATCTGCTAGAAAATCAACCACTCTCTGTGAAACCCTATACGTCCCTATGTATGCCTATGCGCGTCCATAGGTATCCCTAGACAAATTCCTGTGGATCCCGTATTACAGGACCTTGTTTCAAGGATCCCTAAACTTTACACCCCACACCCTAGACCCTAAACCCTTAAACCCTAGACCCTTAAACCTTAGACCCTTAAACTCTAAGACCCTAAACCCTACACCGCCGCCATCAAGCTTGGCTCCGGCTCGAGGCTGGAATCTGGAGCTCCTGGCAGCAAGCAGCAAGGCCCTGAAAATAGATATGGTCATATAGGGGTTATATGAGGATAATGGAGGAGAAAATGGAAACTACCCTAGGGTTTAGGGCCTTAGGTGGACCCCCCCCCCACCCTGCAATAGTGACTACAAGGGATAATACGGAACATATTAGGGTCCTGCTGTTCCGATTATACCACTATTACAGGGCGCGGGGCCCTCCTAAGAGATATGGGGATTTCTCAACACTAGTAGAAGGGGTAGAATTGGGTTAGTTGGGGCTTTTTAAGGTTTCCTAAAATTCATGGACCCTTTTGGGGGATCCCAAGAAGTTCGTATTTCGGGATGTATATTGTGTATTGGGGTCGCCCTATTTCAGGAAGATACTATATGGATAGGGGTATATACAGTTACAGGTCATTAAATCTAAGAAATAATATAAGGTTGTATACAGGTATATACGCAGACAACTGGGCATATCCCCACATGGAGGCTTCCCGGGATTAGGGGTACCATGTTGGGGTCTCTATAAGAAGGGTCATTGCATGTTGCTCCAAACTGGGGTCAAAACTCCTTGTATTCGCGAATGGATGCCACGTTGGGGGGGTGGCATTTTTCAATGTTTCCTGTCGCTTTACAACGTTTCGTGCTCAACTTGCGATTGTGTGAAACTGGGAGTCTCGCTTTTCAATGTTCAACGTCGCTGTACTTTGCTTTAACCTGCAAGCCCTGAGGTGCTGCTTTTTTTACGTTCCCGTCGCTGTACAGGAATTTTGCTTCCCATGTGCGCTATCGGCGTAACTCCTTACAAACGAGTATTGACTGTGGCTCATATGGGATCATTGTCTAAACTCCTAGTATCCCCCTTAAGAACCCCAATAGTAGTCCCTTCTAGAATCCCCTATATAACCCCCATTAAAGAGTTTAGACCAGAGCTCATATGAGATCATAGGGGTTTGTTTTCGGGTTTTTCTGTCACCCTCTGTGTTCCAGTGGAGTCTCTCGGCCCAGAGCATCGGGCCGCGCATGGAAGGTGGGTACCACAGGAATTACAACCAGCTGAAATACTTACTGGTTCTTAGTGGGAAAAAGGAACAAAGAATATAGGTACTGATAGATATGATGTATAGGGATTATATTCGCTTATCCCCACTAGAAGCAGCAAGAATAGATGCTTGGAACAAACAGGTGAAGCCTAGTCCCACTAAATGTTCTAGAAGGACACCGTTCTGAGAACTGACAACTCAGCAGAAGTGGAAAGCACGGGAGGAATATGTCCCAGACTACGGTACATGGATGTACGAAGGCTTTCCTCTGCCCCAAGATCTGGGGTTTGGGTGGGCTCAGGGTTTGGGCGTGAAGCTTGCAGACCTTGGCCGGGTGGCACATAAGGCTTGTGCCATGAGAGCTTAATCTGAGTTGATAGGATTGCAGCGTTCTGGGTTCTTGCTTTGGGTACTCTTTCCTCTATGCTTCGGCAAGACTCCCGGAGGGTCGAAGGGCAGGGTGGTGTGGCTTTGTCTTAGTCTTGCTCACGATTACTTGTCTTCTTGCGATCATGCAACAAATTCTGCAATCCAGAGGCAAAGATTCTGAACCCTCTACATCCCTTCTGTTCTCTGACCCCAAGCACTCAGAATCTAACTAACCTTAAACCCTCAAGCCGAGGCCTCAAAACTTAAACGCTCACCCTGAACATCTGAACCTTACAGGCCGTAATAAGCCCTAAACACTGAACTCACTAAACCCTAAAAGGAAGGTTATGAAGCGTAAATCCCAAACCCTTCAATTCGACATTGGCACCTGGGTCTGGCTTCTGGACCCAGCCACCCGCATCGCAACCTCGGCCAAAGTTCACGAACATGCGTAGGGAAGTTTCCCACAGTCCGATGGACCCCCGATAGCAATTGATTTTTTTTTCTCAGGGAACTTCCAGGTTGGGGGTGTAGGTCTCACACACAGGAGGGGGACGTTCCTGAAATACTTCCTCCAGCAATTTCAGACTATGGGTCTTGGAAACAATGATGCAAAAACACGCGCAAAGGAGTTCAACTAGATTTGGGGAAACACCCTTTAAGCCCTGAGCCCACGCTCTTCCAAACTGATCTGATTCTTGGTTTTAGAGGGCTGCTTTGCGGGTCCTGTGCTTGGAGATAGGTCACACACACGCAGCAATGCAACACCGATGCGCAACAAAGGTATATATCTCCAAGCCTGAACTCCTGAAGCCCCGACATCCTGCCTCGCAGCAAACCTACTGAAAGACCTACGGGGCCGTGGTCCCCAGCATGAAGAAACACCAAGATCCTTAGATCTATGCTCAAACTAACCATTATCCATGGCGCTAGGGATTGTATAGGGGTTATATTCTCTTATTCCCTACTGCTTGTTGCATTCCAGCAGCCCCAGTCAGTGCAGTTCGCAAAGCGCGGCCAGGCCACAAGGGGGCCAGACCTGGGTCAGGAAAGGCAAGGTCTGGCCATCTGTTTAGGGTTTAGGGCGCCTCTAGAAATACACAAGGATTTACAGGGTAAATGCAGAAGTTCCTGTAGTGGGCCACTTTGAGAAACTCCCACTTGTCTCCTTGGGGCGGAAATGTGCTGAGAGCGAATGAGGGAGTGGATTCTGGGATAGCGACGGGACATTGCCAAGGAGTTGCTGTGAAATATGCCATGTGAACCACTTGGTTCTCAAGCTCCGATTATGCAGGAGAAGCAATCTCTGTCCCAAAACAACCATCACAGGGAATAAGGGACCGAAGGGATGAAAAAGAAGATTGCAACTAGTATGCTGTTTGGGGTTAAGTCTCTTCTTCGATTCCCCGCTAGCAACCGGCAAGAGCATTCTTGTGCCCCTTGAGGCTCTTGCGCTCGGCGAAGCCTCATGCAACAAAGGAATCCAAGCGCGCTGCGGGATGTAGATGCCGTATCTCACGCCATCAAAGTAGTTGTTATACCGCAGTGGAGGGCAGTCCTGCTAAAGGCAAGTGTAGCAGCTTGCAGTAGATTTGCCACATGGATATGGCTTGCGCAGAAAGCTGTCAAGCAAGGACTATGGAGACTGCCTCCACCTGAGCAAGGCAAGGCTACAGTAGCTGATTTTACTCTAAGAAGTTTAGACTATAGCTCATTAAGGGTCCTTGGGGTGGGGTTTAGGGTTTAGGATTTAGTGTTTAGGCTCTAGGATTTAGGGTTTAGGGTTTGTCGGGACAAGCCCCGATTTTGGATATTGATTCGACGACAGGCTGAGGGTCCGGATCGTCTGGAAGCCAACACCTCAGCGCAGGGTTAAGGCTTAGGGTTTAGGGTTGCAGGTTTATAGTTCAAAGTTTGTGGTTCAAAGTTCAGTTTTTAATTGGGGCTTAGGGTTTTGGGTTTAGGCTTGAAGGTTTATGGCTGAAGGTTCAGGGCTTGTTTGAAATTAGGGATTAGGGTTTAATCAAGGTTTTAGGGTTTGGGCATCACTGCTTGCGCATGATTACCTCCCTAGTGTTGATCACCTGCAGTTCCAAATGAATGAATAGTCCTTCACTCAGAATGGGACTCTGTAGGGAACATGCATAGCTAAGCAGGAGGTGGAGGGTGGCACTACTGGGGGAGATCATGCATTCCAGCCTTCTTCTGAAGTCTGCAAGGGAACCGTCGCACATATCAGGAGCCTTCTGGGTCGAGAGTGCAATGCTAGCCCGCTTGTCAGCACAACATGTTGGCCTTGTGATCTTAGCCTGCGTTATCCAAATACATCGCTGCATTTTCCCTCTATAACTCCCGGATTACGTCCCCGACAAGCGACTTCTAAATTCAAGAAAAAACCCACATGCGGCTTCCCGTCTGCCATTCGCCCCTCTGCTATTGGCCGAGATGCGGCAACCCCCGCTCCTGCACCAGGAATCTACTTACCTTTGTTGGCTGGGAATGAGGGAATGGATCATACAACGGAAACTACTACAATGGGTTATATATGGGGACTACTATAAGGATCCATTCCGTCATTCCTAGCTATTCAAGGGTAAGTTTAAGCAGAGTGTCGGAATCTTTGAGGCCCTTTCAAAAAGTGTCCAAGAGTTTAGGAAAAACCTCTGTTCAAAAGCAGCCACAAAATCAGCACCCAAATAGTTGGGCTGTATAGGTACCGAAAACCCCTCCAGCTGTAATGGACTGGGCTAGATTTAGACTAGGTAGGTACGTTACGAGGACGTGTGCCGTCTACAGAAGTAACCGAAGGGGTAGCTTCGAGGTTTTAACCTGCTTCTGACTTGAGTGTTTAAACTCCTTGAGAAACCCTTCCAAAAGGCTCAGGAATCTCAAGGCAAGACTTCGGGATAAACAAAATTCAGGGTAACCATCACAACTTTTTCTAGAAGTCTGGAAACACAAGTCTTGCAGCATAACTTGCGCTGAACGGGCCTTGGGCCCTTTTCTCTTGGCAAGTTCATGGGCACTCCCGAAGCCTGAAAGACCGTTGAGAGGCATGTTGTAAGCTTTGCTTGCGTGGGTTTTACATGAGCAGCAAGATCAGAAATCAAATGGCTGCCCTCTGGTGCCTGGAACATGCGAATCACGTGCGGACCTTGTGCGTGAGCATGAAGCGCTACCACTTCTTCACATGCATCTACGTACCCTGCAGGCTGTGTGACAGACTATGCGGACAGGAGGTTCTGTTCCACACGGAGTTGTTGATGGGAAGCCATATAGCCCTTGAGCCCTTGAAGCAGAAGAACAAGAAAGAAACAAAAACAAACGCTACATGATTGCATCTGCAAGTACTTTGCTTTCGTGGAGAAAAGACTCAGCCGCAGGACATGTTGCAAACACCGTCAACTTACCTCAACTTGTGCTGGGTGTAAGGTGTATACAGGCTTGGTAAACGTCCTTGCTAATCGCACTACCCTCACAACTACAGCCCGCAGCCGTCCGAGGCCCCGACCGCATTTGAATTCGGCTCCTTCAACGTACTGCAGCTCCTTGCGGCGCAAGAAACCGTTAATGCCAAGTATCCCAATTTTCCCTAGAGCTTCCGGCACACTGCCTTCATTCATTAATTGCAAGTCCTGCACACAATGCTAAGAAGCTGCCTGACTATGCATCATGCTCTGTCCTGGCCAGGACACTCTTTCATGCTGACCGCCTGAGGGTTCGAGCTTTGTGCAAAAGTTCCTCCATTTGGGTCCCCGACATATGCCCAAGACAGTACAGGTCCTACAAGCGCATATCCACTGATGTGGGACGATTCTGGCATGTAGCTGGTAAGTTGTAGACTGGGCAGCTGATGACCTTCAGTTGAACAGCTGTAGTAACTCTGCTGAAAAACCGCGCTTGCTTGGCCTTCAGGGCAGCAAGTGCGGTCACAGGCCCCATCCACCTGCAGAACGTTTCATTGATGAGGGTTTTAGGGTTTAGGGTCTTTAGGGTTTAGCTCGAGAGGTCAAAAGCCCCACACATTTCACGGTGCAGTACCATTCGGCGTAGCATGTAAGGGAGTTCCTTCAATGGGGTCCTGGGTAGTTCTGGAGTCTTGGGCCGGTGACCTCCATTCAACTATACGTGATGCCAAAGGTCAAAAGTGTAGAAGAACTGCACGTACTACAGGTTTGTGCGGAAAGTGCATTTAATTACAATCGACATGGCAAATATGAGAAAAGTCCTTTTTATAATTCCAGGATTCTGTCATGCACACGGCTTCATTTGAGTACTCCTTGCCTTAATATAGATACTAGGAGATAGCTATCCAGGATCCCACAAATGCCCAGCAGCGGCCTAGCAGATCCCGATCCTGAAGCACTCTGCCATATTGTATTTTTCGCCCAACCCCATCCAAGATAACTGTTCGGTGCCGCTGGGTCAGGACATGGTAAGGGTCTCTGGGCTCTCAAGAGTATCACTAGCCATGAAAACAGAACACGACATAGTCTGGGTGGACCTGCATATGTACCTTACATACTTTCAAGCCCCGCTTCTAATGAGAATATGCCCCAAGTTCTCCTCTTGAGTGCCCCGACTCCGAGGTTGTCCCGAAGCGCTCAGCCACGGGCTCACCCCTGCTCAGGAGGCAGGAAGTGCTGTAAGATGCATCTGGTGACTGCTCCGCGGCGCTGGTATTTAAAGAGATATTTTCTTCCGTTCAAATTGGAGCCCGCATTAGCCTTCCGGCATGCTGTATTCAGCTTTCTGAATGACTGTCTTGTCACTTTGAGATTCGTTATTCAAGTGTCTGGACGTCAGCACTCCACTTTAGATGAATTGACAGCGTGAGTCTCCTGCGTGAATTTTTCTAACTGGACTTGGGGCATTCCAGCACAGGGCCCTTGAATTTCCTAAGATTGCAAGCATGGTAGCATCAATCTGCCAACCTTGACAAGCGCAGTTAATCAAAAAAACGGCCGCTGTCAAGTACAGGCATCCTGTTCGCGGCTCATTCAGAGGCTACCTATAAGGCATTTTTAGGTTCGTTCCGGTTTCTGTGCTCAACTACAACCGATTATAATTTGCTTGTTTTAGCTAGCCACAGTGGGGGGGCATGCCGCTAGCAATAAACAGTGCCTCACCAACACGCTTGTGCAGGCACTGCTAGAATGGGGAAAAGGCAGCTGCTGGCGCCCAAGCATGTAGGACGGCTTGCGCATTCAGAGCGCCGAATGATCTTATGCCTCCACTGTACAGTAGCTTCTACAGCCTCCACGCCATCTTGAGCTGAGCAAAAAAAGAGATGACGTCCATGCCTGTACCAAGCTGTAAGCTGTGTCAGCATCTCCTGCAAAGGCGAGAAGGCTTTCAAGCTTTCCCATCGAACGAAAACTTGTAACAATGACAAGGTCAGCATGTGAATCAGGACATCGGCTTGAAACCAATCAGGCAAAGATCTTGATGCACCTGTACACTCATGGGGGAGGGTGGAATGCGGATTGCAAACCGCATTTTGATGTATGGCGCATGAGCTACTCCGAAACTCCTTGGCAAGGACCATACTGCTTGAGAATCCCTAAATGCTGCATGACCCGAAACGTCGAGCACCGGAAGCTGTGGCAGTTTTGTAGCTTTTATACTAAATGTCAACAGAGCCGTTGATAGAGGACCGCCTGCATGAAGGAGCTGTTGGCCACAGCGCCCATCATTGCATTGAGGACACTGCCATCCTGGCAGCGTACGATGCAGGGGCGAGCTCATGTCGACGCTTCCCAAGTACGCAAAAGCCTTGGGTTTGGAGCATACAGGGAGTATGCGGGTCCGTCAAGGAGTCTGTACCCAGTACCTTTGAGAGATTCATACGTGGTGCACGCATACTAGGGCACCGGGAATAGCGCTTACCGCGGCAAAATGCGGGATCCCTAATATAATATATGGATGTCGTGCACGCCCAGCATAAAAAAAATCAAGGCTTAAAATCTATGCTGTCCTCTTGTAGGATTGTTCTGTGCAGAAAGCCACCTGCGCTTTGGGCAGTCTGTAGAAAGCAAGGCTCTGCACTTCATATGCAAGGGTTCTCTCAAATCTCGGTCTTGGCACAACTCTACCCAAGTGGGCGTGAAAAAACAGCGGTTTAGAAGGGCTAGTGGAGCCCTTTGCAAAAGTTATCATAAGATTCCAAAGGGATCGGCCGCAAGCACCGCTAGACTGATAGAACCAGCTTTTCGTCCATCAAAAAAAATTGTATACGCCTGAACCTGCTCTTGAGGGATAAGCATCATGGGCACCACGGCTCTATGCTCAGTCTCCTCAGGTCTGGATGCATGCGTGGAAGCCTTGCCTCGGAGAAGCTTGCCAAGAAGGTCGTTGCCTGCAGGCAGGCAGGATTCACTGATTACTGATGGATAGCATGTTGCAGGCTTTGGGTCTCTGTTAGCGCATCTCTTCAGACGAGAAAGGACGAAGGCGGCAGAAGCCTCTGTTTCTGGTATGGCATGGTAGGACGAAATAAAACATTGAGAGCCCTGGAACCTTGCTGCCTTTGTGTGGAAGTTCCAACGAAACAACACGCACAGCTCGGACTGCACTGGCAGCCAGCTGGGATACCTTCTCGAGAGCCCCTAGCTTCCGGGCTTGTCTAGGCAAAGACCAAGAATAAGCTCAAGTGCTGAACCCAAGCCCGGTCGTACCTGTTGCCACAACGTGATGCAGAAACAAAGAGAAAAACAGCTCTGGAGCATACGACGAATTCTGGACCAAAAAGTGTGTAGAGCGCAGGAAGGACGGACACCTGACAACAGCCTGCAGGGAGTTGATACCATTACAACGCTGCAATGCAAAACTCCTGTTCAGAAAATGAAAACGAGTCCGGCAGGACATCTTGCAATCTTACATCCGCCGTTGCAACCTGGGACCGCAGTAAGCACAAGAACACATATGAGAAGCCATGTTAGAGCAATGTCCTCGTTCTGTATGTAAACAAGGCCCACCTATACCCTCTGCACCACCAAACAAAGAGTAGGTACACCCAACCGACAGTACCAATACCCATCAATAGCAGGGTCTCCCACAACAGGCATACCTTCGGGTGCCCTGGGGATAAGTAATGATTACAGAGAATGGGGGGGCTCCCTTTACGATGTCATGGGAATTAATTTTGAGAAGGTGCCCTCAAGCCAATACTCTGAAACTCTAAGCCCTTAGCCCCAAATAAAAAAAAAAAAAAACAAGCCCTAAATCTGAAATGAGGCCTCGCCGGCTAAGTCTTCAAAAGGCCATTTCATCTCCTCGGTGAGGGAGGATGATGATTATTCAGGGGCCTGCTCGGACATGAACATGCTAGGTATGAAAAAAGTACGGTTGGTTCTAAATTAGGATGAAGTAGACAGGCGAACAGTCAAAACTAGTTTTAACAACAGCCCTGCTCAAAGAGCTCGAAAAGTTGGTTGTTGATAAAGAGATTGGTGCCCATGATGCCTGCGAGAGTATGCTCAGGAAAGTGATCTCTACACGATTTAGGGTTTAAGTCTCTGAGTCTCCCTGGCCTGCCCTTCAATCCCGCGGCCCTTTACGTAGCCCTGTTAACTTCTGTTTAGCGATCTCCTTCCCCGTTTCCAAGCTTCCCGCACGAACCTGAAAGAGAACTGTAAATGGTAGGGTGTCGAAAGTACAGTCCCTTTCTGCCCTAAATACACGGGCCTGTATCCTAATGAGCCCCGAAAACGAAACCATGATCTTGACAACCCCGCATGGGTTTCACAGCAGGGGCGCAGAGATGGTAAAGGTGTCTGGGGCTAAGGTTATAGCTGTAGACCCGACAGGATCTGAAAGGATGACTTTAAAACTTTACTTTGTGCAGGGTGTCCTGTTTCACAAAAGGGGGGGACATCAGGAGGCAAACCGATGAATTACGAATGAAACCAATACCATTGGCTTAGAACCTCTTGTTGCCATTTCCGTTTGCACTTTGGCTTTGGTTTATACGGGGGTCGGTCAACATTTCCATATCTAGTCCTTGAGAAAGACCTTAACTAATCCCAAAGTATCCTTCATGGGGATACCCCAGTTTGGAGAAAAGCGCCTCTATTTCCAACTTTCGTGCGAAGCACCACGTCAAGATCCGTGTAGAAGCCGCCCTCTCGCGCCAGAACTGCTGCACGGCAGACGTCACTGCGGTAGCTTCCCCTGCTCTGCTTGCAGGGACGTGGGGAGCTAGGGTTGTGTTATCGGGATTATTTACATGTCGCCAAGGGATGTGGAAGTTCGCGGTTCTTCTAACTCCCGGTGAACCAACCTAGGAAAAGTACTAATCCTGCAAATGAGAGATCCACACTGCATTCCTACATGTCTGTTTAAACCTGGTCACAAAACGTAAGCTTCAAGATGTATCGAATAGAAAAGCATACAACCAAGTCGACAGTTACATTCAGCAAACTCTTGATCCCATCGCGGTGAGCCCTGTTGCACTTTTGGGCGGCTGGGATGTGATTTTCTAGATTGGGCTCTCGTGGTGATTTCTAGGTTGGGCTCTGGTGGTGATCATCTTTGCGATGGCTTCAGGCTAAACCTGATCAATTACTGTTGCACGTCGACCTCTTCTCGTTGGCAAAGCGGTACGGCAGCTCTGTGTGGTTGTAGTGGTCGACCAGATATCCTCATCTTTCGGGGCTGAGGAATTTGACGAGCGAATGAGGACATGGTTGATGATCCAACAAACGGGGATTGTGTAGGGACTGCCCTCCCCACATTGTGCCGTAAGGGATTGAGCCTGCGGCTTGCAAAAAAATCGGGACGTGCTGCAGGTGGGCTGACGGCAACACGTCTATGTCCAAGTGATTGCTTGCTCCAGACTGAGGGCAGCTATTGCAGACGGGGTCAAGATCCCTGATAATTATGCGAATACTTGAGATTTGTGCATACGCCTTTTTGCAGTACAGGTGTTGGGAAGTAATATGATTGCTTGTATATGTACTACTAAGTAAATGGACCACTAACACTAGGGCTACAGTAGAGGGATGAAAAAACTCCTCGCAATGCCACTCAAAGAAACAAACATGGCCATCGATGGAGTTGTTTCATTCACTTTGTCCTAGAGGCCACTCTGAGACCTTCACCTGAACCCATCATCCCTTTAGGAAGCAGCTCTCCCTGGAAACCCAGAAATGGAGGGCAGAGTGTCGCTCGCAAGCGTCGTCTCCCAGCCATCGTACGGTGAACCATGGATTGAGGGCCAACCTTTCCGCATGGGGTTAAGGAGCTTCAAATGTGACCACATACCAAGCCATTACAAAGTCTCCATCTCTTCCTTATAACGTCGTTGTTTCAATACCACATCCTCTGCCTCCTCTCACGCAATCGTTTGCACGCATGGCTTGTGAAGATTTCCGCAAGGTGTTCTATCAGCAAGTACTTCATTGCTTCCGGCTTCCTGGATGAAGGGTTGAAGCATATATATGACCATTGCAGGGTTCTGTGGACTGCGCCAGCCCGGGCTTTGGAGCAGAACGTCTTAGAAAGTAAAACCTTCGACTCAAAGTGGCAAAGTTAGCCGGAAGAGTGCCGCGAATTGCTAGAAGGAGCCGCTGTCTTCTACAGTGCCGAACATTCAGCACCTGCCGAAACTCATCAACGGCCTGTCAACTGCTGGACACCTTTTGCAGAGCAAGCTCCATTACAAATTTGCGCTGAATGCGTGGCCTTGACAAAGCCTGCTCGCGTGCACTCAAATTTGTCGTCACAAGCTTCCCTCGGAGTAACTAGAAGCAAGTAACTGTTCGCATGTGCCAAGGGCCAGTTTCAAAGTGCCGCCACTTGGCATTGCTCAACGACCAACCCACCGACGAGAGGAATGCGAAGCTGTCCATCGCAATCGGGCATGCAACCTTGTGCAGGTTGTCGCTGATGACTTTGCACTGGTGCATGCCCTGCCCAACTTCGTTCTGTATAGGCTCGGCAACGCTGCGTAATCACTAAGGACTTACCTGTCGCAGGTTCGCCGCAACTGATATTCGGATCACTTGGTGTCCACTTCAAAGTAAGGGAAGTACACTCCCAAGCTGTTGCAAGGTTTACTCCCGGCCAAGCCCCCTCCTACTTACAATAAATATTCCCCATAATATCTAATGTGGTACTCTGGGGGAATTCATGTTTATGTCGGGGAGGTTTACGGTATTTTTGGGGGAGTCCTTTATTGGGGACAGGAAATCGTATTGTGGTGGAGGACTTGGTGCTTACGTTAGCCGTCTCAACCCTCAGGCTGGAGGTGTCTACTTTGTGCTAAAGGTTAGGGAACCTACTTGCGAGTGTACCTTTCTTCCACGATACATATGGGTACCAAAAAAGGAAGCCGAAAAAAGGTCAAAGTTCTTCTCTTGGCGAAGTAAGGTATAGTAGAGCTATCAAAGGGATAGAATATGCTTGCTAAATCTAGGGTCCTTCAGAGTAGGGGTTGCCGGGCTTATAGACATGCTTGAAGGGTTCAACTAGGTTTCCGTTTGAGATGTGCGGAACCCGAACTAAACCCCAAACCCACAAGGCATGCTTATGCACGGTTCTTGGGGCCGGCATTGCGGCTTCAAACTGGATCGTGAACACTCATAATCATCAGCTTTCATTTCGGTTTCCATCCCATTCTACATCATTGGGGGAATAAACCTCCTCAGCCCTATATCCCCCTATGTATAATCATGCCTATCAAAGAATAGATATCTACACACATATATGCCTGTCACCCTGAAGCTGGGATTGCGGCCAAAACTCAAAATGCCCCTGACACCCTGACAACACTTTAGGGCTTACAGTAGGGTTTGAACTACCTCCGAAAACATCAGGATGACCGTTCTGCAGTACGGGCACGTGTTCTGCAGCAATCAGACGCTCAATGATGGCACAGCTAACTCTGCGGGGGGAAGGGGGGGGCGCTCTCAGAACATCTAAGCATGTCATGTCTGTCCATGGCCATGGCCATCTCAAGCCGGCCGCCCAGCTTGTATATGCATATACTTTTGCCGACATGCCGAAAGAGGCCGATATGCACTCACCAAGACCACAACCAAAAAGTACATTGCACACAACCCTTTTTCTCAAAATTGAGGTTCCCCCGTGCACCGTCAGAACAACACTAAGTTCTGATTCTACAGACCGCCCAAAACGAACAGAATTGTAAGAAACCATCGACATAGTCTCGCAGCAGCTCCCAATTTGGGAGTCCCTGACATGAAGACATGGTGAATTTTCGCGGTTACTATAGGGAGTCATTCTCTGCTGATAGGACTCAAATTGTCTACGACGGTCGTGGCATCCTTGAAAGAGCTCTTTACTACCAAAGGGCTACAATCTCGAGACAGTGAAGGGAGAATGGGCCTGCAATAGAGCACTGTGCCTTCCCTTGGTTCCGGCCTCCAAGAACATTACTAGTAGTAATAATAGCAATACTATTACTAATAGTAATTCTAAGAATATGACCGGGAACGGCATGATATGCAAAACAGTTCAAATGGTTCTGAAAGGCCAGGCCAGGACAGCTACCACAGCAAAAGGCTCACCACAAATTCTTTATTATTAATTAATCTAACTACCTAATCAACCCAATGATGCCGCGAGAGCTAAACTTCCTAGATCCTTTTTTAAGGTGTGCAGATCTTGAGCCGCTCTTGGGATACATTACAACAAGGTAACTGATTTCCCCTCCCGCCTGGCAACGAGTATACTATGGACTGTTTGGGGTTTATAGATCCCTCTCCTTATTTTGAAAACTCCCAAAACACAAAATTGCAAAAAATACGGCCCATTTGCTAGTGTGAGCACTTGCCCCTTGCAACAGTTCTGCCTTTGTCCGTCTCGGCGAAACCCAAAATAAAGATAGTGAAGCCAAGCTGGGCATTACGCAGGTAGAAGCGGCCCCGCCGCAGTTGCTAGTTCCCGGAGAGCTTTTCTCTGCTTGGGATCCCTGAAAGGGAAAGCACCCTTACATGCCTTGGCTTAAATTCCCGCCCCAAATTTCTCAGGCTTCTGACTTATGATCATAATCATACATACCTGGTACAACCCTCCTGTAAGCCATCAAACAACTTGGAGGCCGGACCCTGTCATAAGTCTTAGAATTACTATTAGTAATATTATTGCTATTCTGAATATTGGTAATATTATGGCTACTGATATTGATTGTATGTAGCAGCCTTCTTGTCCTACTCACGCGAAGCTTAGTTGCCAACGTGTGCCGCACATTTCGCTGCACGGGCAAAGGCAGCGTCGAGATTGTGCCGTCCTGCCGGCAGAGAGAAGTAAAGCTCGGAACCTTCTGTAGACTAGAGCGAAGCATATGGGGGATTGTCAAAATTATGGTCCCTTTTTGGGTCCCTAGTATAATACGGGGCCTAATACGGGGCCTAATTTAGGGGACCCAAAAAGGGACCATAATTTTGACAATCTCCCATATGCAGGGTGCACAAGAGGTTTGGGGATGAACTCGGCGCGGGTAGGCTTGCTTGCAAAAGATTTGGTCGCAAAAAAGGCACGCTCTGCAAGACTGTCGGCCAGCTGATATCTCGTACCAGCTCACCCTCCAGTGCTGGAACGCGCCATCACCAGCCGAGGACAAGCAAGCATGCCCTGAGAAATGGTATAAGCCTCATGGCTAGCACAGCAATGAGGAGCTTGATCTTGCCGTGCTTCAAGTAGAGGCTCTGTCTAATCTCTTGATCAGTGCGTACAACCCAAGTCTTGTGAAGCTGCCAGGGTTCGGAGAAATAAATTTCGTTTAGCCGTTGCTAAAGCAGGCCTCTTCGCCGCTTCAAACCCAAAGAAGCTCACAGCGCATCATGCTGCTTTGTCCTGAGGTGTGTGATCGCTGAGGAAATACAACAAGGAAGATGACAGGCACCGGGGCCCTGAAAGGGTGCCGGTATTGAAAACCCAACTTTATTTCAGTTTTGTGAACGTTTTGACTCCGTGGCTTTCAATGTTTCACCTGGAAGCTCTGCAAAAAAGAAGAAATGTGGGTGTGGGTGTAACGGCAGTTCACACGTCCCACGAAAAGTCACATGTTGGCCAGCTGATATCTCGTACCAGCTCACCTTCCAGTGCTGGAACGCGCCATCAACAGCCGAGGACAAGCAAGCATGCCCTGAGAAATGGTATAAGCCTCATGGCTAGCACAGCAATGAGGAGCTTGATCTTGCCGTGCTTCAAGTAGAGGCTCCACATGGCTCTGCAATGCTCTGCATTTACGACAGAATCTTGCCTTCTTTTGGAACTTACCATCCTGCCACGCCCGATGCTTTGCTAAGCGCACATACTTTCAAGCCCCCCCCTCTCAGCTCCCTCATCAAGTTGCCCTGGCATCGCAGATCAGCTTGGAGCTTGGGGGTGGCCCGTGTGAAAGCGCCAGGGGTTATAGTATAACGGGGGGGTTTCCCGTGTACTGAGCCGCTCAAGACTTCTGCATCTGGGGGATGGCGTAAGGAGGTAGGCCGTACTCAGAGTACAACAAGGTTTCCCAAATTATGGGTTCTCCGCAATAAAGAGTGTGGCATTCTGGGGATATGAAAGGGCGGCACACTCTTCCAGCAAAGCCACCCGGGCCGGGATGTGCCCCCTGACGTATTATAAGATCCATGCCACCAAGAAGCGCACAGAGGCCCCTCGCAAAACAGGGGTTTAGGTCCATACCCTCAGAATACTGTCCATACTCAGAAAAACCAGGGGGGCCCACAACTTTGACAAACAGACTCTACACTCCCTGTATCATCCCACCCTAAGCCCTAAACCCTAACCCTGGATCATCCCCGGACTATTTCACCCGAAAAAACTGAAAGCTGCTCCTTGGAGGTGAGCACCAGCTGCTGAGGGATCCTACGGTCCAAAAAGTTTGGGGTTTGGGGTTTTGGGGTGTAGGGCCTAGGGGTTTAGGCGTTGAGGGTTTGGGGTTTAGGGGTCTGGGGGTTTAGGATTTAAGGTTTGGGACTTAGGGCTTCAAAGTTGGGGGGCTAGGTTTCAGGGATTGGGACTCGTACCCCTAAATTGTATGCTATGCCTGGAAGCAAGGACAGGGAGGGCAAGAGAGAAACACTCTTGCAGCGTCATCTTCGTTCATGGCGCTGTAAGTAAGATTCTTGAGCCTCCCAGTGCCAAGACAAATGAGCCGCAATCCAGCAATACAGCAAGCCATGTACTCGCTGATGCTGGTGCGGAAGGCTCTTAAGGCCAGGATTCCTCCAATTACTGCGCACGCTCCCCCAAACAAATATGGACTTCAGAATGACTTCTCGCAGGCTATCATAAATGTCATCCTCTGCCCAGGACCCGAAAACTTCAGGTCTCGTGTTTGTTTCGCCGTGCTCTTCAGTCTGCTACCTCGCTGAGGGTATAGCCAAGGAAACTCTTGGAGTCTCATTCTTGCACAAGCTGAGGGCAATCCCCACATGATGTAGCACCCCTTGCGGCACTCCGCATGTCATCCTGCATGCATGACCCTCAAGTTTCTAATATATGTATATATATATATATATGTATATATGCGTCTGACTGCAACCAAATCCGCCACGCCTCGTTTTCTTGGGTGGCGCCCGGATGCGACCAAGCTTCACCTGTGGAAGCCCCATTTGAGCAGCGATATTTGTCAGGACGGCCAGATGAGACATGCTCGTTTTCATACAAGATGGCTTACGCGGTCAGAGCAAAGTGATAGCTACTCCGATATTGAGGAACTCAGGATTGTCGTTTCACAGCCGGGGTGGTGTATGGCTGTCAGGAAGAGGGTGTTTGCAACGTCAAAGCAAAGCTTCCCTTGCCTGTTTGATCGACAGAGAATACGATGCTTTGGAATCGGTGGGGGAAGCACTCTGCTTTCAGCCATAGCCAGACTAAACCAAGGCAACGGTCGAATTGACCAGCTGACGCTAACATCCCTATCATACAAGCCAGAAAGATTCCCAAACTTATAACCCTAGATTCGTTGTACAATTACGGGTCCTAGATTCCTTGTATAATTTCGCTACAGGATATATACTTCATATGAGCTGTAGTCTAAACTCCTTAAACGGGGTTATATAAGTGATTATATGAGGGACAATTATAGGGCTTCTTAAGCGGGATACTAGGAGTTTACACTGTTGCTGATTTATACCTCAAAAAATATTGCGCAGATGCACTCCCGAGCGTTGCTGCCCAGCAGCCGTGAGTCGCCAAGCAGGAGGACCCAGGAGCTCTTCCTCATTGGGTTAATATTCAGGGTATATTGGAGATATGAGGATAATGGAGAAGAAAATGGAAACTACTATTATGGGGAATATATTAGGGTTCTATTCAGGATATATTGGGAGAATGGAAAATAGAATGGAAACTACTATTATGGGGATTATATGAAGGTTATATTGGGGTTATATTGGGATAATGGAGAAGAGAAAGAGAATGGAAACCACTGTAATGGGTTATCTAGGGTTAGGGCTTAAGTTGTTTGTGTTAATAAGGTTTCGGGTTTAGGGTTCTTGTTTTAGTAATGTTTAGGGCTTAGGTTTCTTGGGCCGCGAAAATTCCCACAGCCCTGGGTGGATTATAGATAGATCCCCTATATCCGCCCGACATACCCCGTAAACTCCACGTGATTCTTCATCAATTCCAAGCTATCTTATATCATCTAATGACAACGCTTATCTCTTAGAGAAATCGGGGTTTCGGGATTATGGGCCCTTAAGGGTAAAATTCTAGGCATTAAAGGACCCTTTGGTGAAGGGCTCAGGCGTACTCCAGAATGCGAGGTGTAGGCGGGGCTGAGTATTCTAGATATTGGAGAAATGCTAGTTGTTGATATACTGGAGAGAAAAGGAGCCTGTGGCCTGTGGCTAGGAGCCTATGCTTTGGACCCTGAGTTTGGCTGCGGCCGCCCATGTTACTAAGATTTTGGCATCCACGTGTACTACATCAGCGAAATCTCCCACATGGAAAATGCTGAGGCAAAAGCTCGATCCA